ACACAAACTGAGTGGCTAAAACAACAGGTGTTTCTTCTCTCACAGTTCCGGAGGGCAGAAGTCAAGATAGGGCAAGAGTGTGCTCCTTCCTTGTCTCTGCTTCAGGTGATGGCTGGCAATCCTTGGCCTTCCTTGGCTTGTAGACACATCACCCCAGTCTCTGTTGTCACGTGGCATTCTTCCTGTGTCTGTCCACCTGTCTCCTCTCTTCTTAGAAGGACACCAGTCACAGCGGATCAGGGCCCATCCTCCTCCAGTATGACCTCATCCTAACTTGATTCCTTCTGTAAAGATCCTGTCTCCAAATTAGGTCACATTCACAGGCACTGGGGACAGGACTCCAACATGTCTTTCTAGGGGACACAATCCAACCCATAACATCAGGGTTACAGTTCACTTTTTCCATACAGATATCTGACTGCTCCAGCATCATTCCTTAAATATCACAAATGTAAGGATTTATTTCTGGACTCCTAATTCTGTGCCATCCACCTGTACGCCTGTCCTGTGCCTTGATTACTGCGGCTTCGTGGTAAGTTTTGAGATCAGGTAATGGTGAGCCCTCCAACTTTGTTCTTCTTTTTCAAAATTGTTTTGGATATTCTAGGTCCTTTTCATTTCTATATAATTTTGGGGTCAGCCTGTCAATTTCTACAGAAAAGCATGCTGGGATTTGGGGTAGGGATTGCATTGAGTTCACAGATCACTTTAGGCAGAGTTGTCACTATGGGGCAGAATTGTAAGATGGCCCCAAGCTCCCTGCCTCCCAAGGTACAAGCTTATTAAATAACCCCCTCCCCTGAGGCAGAACAGAACCTCTGCAAGTGATGGGCCATCACCTCCATGGTTAGGTTACTAATCAGCTGACTTTGAGTTCATCAAAATGGAGATTATTTGAGTGCGCCTGACCTAATTAGGTGAGTCCTTAACTGAGACTGGGGCCTTCCTAAAAGGAGAGATTCAAAGCATGAATGGGGGGCCAGCCCGGTGCTGCAGCAGTTAAGTGCACACGTTCCGCTTCGGCGGCCTGGGGTTCACCGATTCAGATCCCAGGTACAGACATGGCACCACTTGGCAAGCCATGCTGTGGTAGGCGTGTCACATATAAAGGAGAGGAAGATGGGCACGGATGTTAGCTCAGGGCCAGTCTTCCTCAGCAAAAAGAGGAGGATTGGCAGCAGTTAGCTCAGGGCTAATCTTCCTCAAAAAACAAAACAAACAAAGAAACAAAGCATGAAAGGGGCTTTAGGAGGGCACCACGCGGCAAGGAACCTCAGGGTGCCTCTAGGAGCTGAGAGTATTCCCTGGCAAACGGCCAGCGAGAGAACAGAGACCTCAATCCTACAGTTACGAAGAACTGAATTCTTCTACTCGGAACCACGTGAGCTTGGGAGAGGACCCTGAGCCTCAGATGAGAAGTCAGCCCAGCTGATTTTTTTTTTTTTTTTAAGGATTGGCACCTGAGCTAACAACTGTTGCCAATCTTTTTTATTTTTTCCCTGCTTTATCTCCCCAACCCCCTCCTGTACACAGTTGTATATCTTAGTTGCTGGTCCTTCTAGTTGTGGGATGTGGGATGCCACCTTCAACGTGGCCTGATGAGTGGTGCCATGTCCACACCCAGGATCCGAACCCGGAGCGCGCAAACTTAACCACTCGGCCACGGAGCCGGCCCCAAGCCCAGCTGACTTTGATTGTAGCCCTTAGGAGACCCTGAGCAGACAACCCAGTTACGTCATGCCCGGGCTTCGGACCTACAGAGACTGTCAGGTGAGAAATTTACGTGTTGTTTTAAGCCACTGAGTTTTTGTTAATCTGTTACACAGCAATAGAAACCTGATACGGTCATCCTGACAGTATTGTCTTCCAATTCACAAACATGGAATGTCTTTCTGTCGATACAGACCTTCTTTACTGTATGATTCCATTTACAACTTCCAGAAGAGGTAATCCATACAGACAGAAAGTAGATGAGTGGTTACCAGGGGCTGGGGGAGGGGAAAAGAAGAGAGACTGCTAATGCTAATGGGTATAAGGTTTCCTTTTGAGGTGATGGAAATGTTCTGGAAGTAAATAGTGGTGGTGGTTGCACAACACTGTGAATGTACTACATGCCACTGAGACGTACATTTTTAAATGGTTAATGGTTATTTTTATGTTATGTGAATTTTTCCTCAGTTGAAAAAAATGTTTAAATAAAAACTAAAACCTCACACTGAGAGACCACATGTTCCATCTCAGGTTGCATATGTTCCCCGGTGGGGAGTGACAGTACCCTGTGGGCGAGTCTCAGGGGAGCCAGGACTCTCACCTGCTGGTGGGGCTGCAAAATGGAACAGGCTCTAGGGAGGGGAATTTGCCAAAATCTGGAAAATTAACTATGCTGCTTTTTAAAAAAAAAGAATGAGGAGCAGGCTCTGCCTGCACAGATATGGAGAGACATTCAGATGCATTGTTAAGTGACAAACGCAAGCGCTTGTCTGTTGGCGGCATTGTGGGAACTGGGCTGGGAGGGCTGGGTGGGAAGCAAGGCATTTCTATGTCTGCCCTTTTGTGCTGATGTGTGAACTAGGTGAATATCTGGCCTCCACAGAACAGTTCAAGGTAAACAAGAAAAGACCAGCATCCACGGCTCCCGCTCATCTCCCTCCCTCCCTGACCTTTCCTCTTCCCCTCCCTCTTTCCCTCCAATCCGGGCCACTCACCTCCCACCTGCCCACCAGTGTCTTCCTACCTGCTGTGCCCTCTGCCTGGAATGCCTCCTCCCCATTTGGAATGGCTGACTTCTTGTCATTCTTCTCAGCTTTAATGTTACCACACCAGAAAGGCCTCTTCATCTTGCTTGTTCGTGTATTGTTTCCCTATTTGTTGTTTATATCCACACACGTGCACAGCCACCCACCCACACAGACACACACACCAGGAAAGAAGCCTGGAGGCCGGCCTGGTGGCACAGTGGTTAAGTTCACACGTTCCGCTTCGACGGCCTGGGGTTCGCGGGTTCAGATCCCGGGTGCGGACATGGCACCGCTCAACAAGTCATGCTATGGCAGGCATCCCACATATAAAGTAGAGGAAGATGGGCACAGATGTTAGCTCAGGGCCAGTCTTCCTTAGCAAAAAGAGGAGGATTGGCAGCAGATATTAGCTCAGGGCTAATCTTCCTCAAAAAAAAAAAGGAACAAAGCCTGGGTGAGCAAGGTAGGGCCAGCCTTCCTCTCTCTTGTGTCCTCGTGACCTAGCCCACCCCTGGGACACCACTCACTGACCTTGGTGACCTCGTGCAGTTCCAGAGCATCAGATAACACCTGTCCCGACAGCTCCCCAACTTCTCTCTGCAGCCACCCAGCCTGTCCTCTCAGCTCCACATTCATATGAATCTAAGGTCCCAAGGAGAGGGCCCCCAGGCCTAGACAGTGCCCCTCCTGGCAGGAACTCTGGCCTGTACTGGCCTCCAGGCATGAGGCCAGACGCCTGAGATGGCCCAGTGCCGGCAGCCAAGAGGAACATCTGCCTCGCCAACCCTCTTCCAGCTCGGCCTTCCAGACTGCCGTGTGGCCCTTGCTTAGGACGAAGGGCTCCTCCCTTGAGCCCCCAACCATGGCAGGCTTTTCTGTCCCCTCACTGGCCTCAAGGAAGTGAGTCTCCTTCCCCTGCAGTCCCCCTGCCCGCTTAGCTCTGACCCCAAAGGGCTCCCACCTGCCCCAGCCTGATTTCCCAGAGACTTAGGCTGTTTCCAGAAACCAGGTCCTTCCCTGCCAGGAGCCAAGACTGGGCCTCACAAGCGTGTTTTCCAGAAGCTGTGGGGCCAAAGGTAGCTCCCTCAGAAACCATCTGCCATTGGGTGAGCTGGCTGAGAGGGGCTCCCTTTCCCCACAGGAAGCCTGCTCTTCTGGTGGCTTCTCAAAGAAGGCAGGAGGGGCTGGTATAGGCCAGACGATCCCCTCTCCAGAGTTCCCAGAGCCCAACAAAAGGCCCCATTGAGGTCCTCAGACTTGTCTCCCACATCTGGGACCTAGGGTCAGGCCTGGCCACCCCCTCCCTGCTGTGCCCCAAGGCGCTCTGGCCTACGCTACCCTCCTCCCTCCTCCACATGACCCCAGATGGCTCTACCGCAGACACAGGGCCGGGAAGCCCAAGAGAGAGTTCCGAGCTGCCAGCCAGGCCTCCTCAGGCAGTGGCAGAAAGGGACACAAGGCCCTGCGGGCGGGAGAAGGGCACAGGAGCCTCTGCACCCAGCAAAGCCCACTACGGTCAAATCTGCACATTTGCTAGGGAGGTGGTGCCACACCCAGAGCTGGGGTGCTCCCCGCCAGCCAGGGGCTATCCCCTGTCCCCTCTGCTCAGTCTCAGGCAAGGGGAGGAAGGGCAGGAGCAGGGAGTGGTCAGTTTGCCTTCTTCAGCCTCGTGGAGCTGGGCCTGCCTGCCTCAGTTTACCCAAGGGGAACTGGAGGAGCTGGCTGCTGAGGTGGGGGCGGGGAACAGGAACACCCACTCCCAAGCCAGGTTCCCCCATGGGGCCATGACAGCAACCAGCCCCATGGCGGTACGAGTGGGCTGGCCAGGGTGGGGTGGGGAGCAGTGAGTGCAGGAACCCACAGCAGCCTCCCTGTGTCAGGATTAGGAAGAGATGCTGGGAAGGGCCCAGAATGAGGCAAAGGGCGGGTTTGCATAGCTGTGGTGGGGACATAGTAGAGTGGCAGGGAGCCACAGGACAGCCACGTCCCCTATGGAACGGGCAGCTAGGAGACACAAGAGGAGCCCAAGGGCCTGGGAGGGTGGCCTCGGGAGGAACGCCCCACCCACCCAAAGAGCTGCACTGCCACAGAGGTGCCCCGGGGAGGGCGGGCTGGCTGCAGGGACAGCTGGGCCTGCCTGGGCCCCAGTGGGTTGCAAATGTCCCCCTTCTTCTTCTACAGACTCATGTGGCCACCCAATCCCTTCCCACCCTCTCATCCCCACCAAAGACACACTTTCTCACCAGACACAAAGACTAGAAATATTGTACGACTCCATTTATATGCATCTTCTAGAACAGGTAAATCCACACAGACAGAAAGTAGACTAGTGGGTGCCAGGGGCTGGGGGAGAAACTGCTAATAGGGATGGGGTTTCTTTCTGGGGTGAGAGAAATGCTCTGGAACTAGATAGCAGTGATGGTTGCACAACATTATGAACATACTAAATACCCCTGGAATGTATACTTTAAAAAGGTCAAAATGGTAGATTTTATGTTATGTGAATTTTTCCTCAATAAAAACATTTTTCTTCACAAAACAAAGTGCAGGTGTTTCAACTCTAACATGTACATTTCTTTATCATAAAAGAAAAAAAAACAGTAAATAATCAGCTCCGTCCTCCCTCAGGCCACCAAGTCACCGGAGCGGGGAGCTGGGGTGCCTGGAGTCCTGGACACAGGGAGCTAGGGAGACTGCAGGGAGTCGCAGGAGCCAAGGCTGGGCCACCTCCGCGTTCACCGGATCTGGTGTGAGGACGAGGGGACAGAGAAGGGAAGCTGGCCCGTCACCTTTGGTCCTCTAGCAGGGCAGGACAGTCCACCCAGAACCAAGCCATCCCCCCCCCCCCAGCTTGAGCTGCCTGCCCAGCACTAGGGCCACCTTGGAAGGGCCTCCTCACCGTGTACTTGTCCCATTTCTTCTCGGGGTCGTACGGCTCCCAGCGGCTGGCAGGGAAGATGTGCTTGTTCTTCTCGTACCAGCTCCGCAGCACCACCTTGCCCGCATGCGACTGTGGAAGGGAGGAGGGCCGGGCCCTGCGGCTCAGGGGCCCTGGCTGCCTGACTTCTCCTTCCCGCCACTTCTCCTCCTGCCTGCCCAGCGCCCTGGTACCACCGTACCTCGTCCTTCTCCACGGTGGCATCACTGAGCAGCCTCACATCATCGTGAACGTCAAAATTAAAGAGTGGCCCTGCAGGGGAGAAGCAGCCGGCCCACCGTCACGCTGCCTCCCTGCAGTTTGGGGACAAGTTGCTGGGGAAGGGGAGGGGCTGGGTCGGACAAACTCACCACTCTTCCCTCGTGCCTTGGTGACGATGAAGTCATAGAAGCTGTGGTGCTAGGAGCCAAGGGCAGGAAAGCCACAGCTGATGACCCATCTCGGCCTCTCCCGCTAGCCACATGCAGGCTCTACTCCCTACACGGCACCCAGCAGCCCAAGCCAGAGCCCCAGAGCAGGCCCTCTCCTGCAAAGCCCCCAGGCACGCCAAAGCCCCCCCTACCTGGGGCTGTGGGGAGAGAGAAGGCACTCACATGGGGTATGATTAGGTCTTCCTTGATGTACATGAGCTGCTCCACCCCAGCTGACCTGAGGGAGAAAGGCAGGAGGGTGTGGACGGACAAGGAAGCGGCCAGCCATGGCAGGCTGCAAGGTGGGTGAGCCTGGGACCAGCGCCCCGCTGTCCTCCACCTCTGGGCTCAAACACAAGGCAAGCCAGCTCGTCTAAGCTCCCTGTGGTGAGAAGGATGGAAAAAGCAGCCTGACCCTCTTCTCAGGGGCACAGTGCCCAGCACGCCACCTTTCTATCCAGGGAGTGGTCACCCTGGTGCATGGCAAGCAGAAGCTACCGCCTGGGGTCTCTGGTACCAGGGCTAGGACCAGGGTGGGTGCTCACATGGCCACTTGCTCGGGCATGTGCATGTGCGCACGCACACACTCACCTGAGCTCACTGAAGTCCTTGCGCAGGATTTCGAGAGCCTTCTGCAGGAACTGCTGCATTGTGTTGCCCTTTTTCATCTGCATGAGTGGCCAGAGAGCCGGCATCCAGGAAACCAAGGAGTTGGCAAGGGAAGATGAAAGCCCAGAGAAGGGCTCTTAAGAAGGCAGTGAACTAGAGGCCCCTACCAGGGACCCTGGAGTCCTTACTACCCCCAGAGTGGGCAAGGCCCTCTTTCCTGCTCTCCCCAGGATCCCTAGGGGCCACCCACATAAAGGGGCCTTCGGGCTTCCAAAGTGAGGACAGAAAGCTCCTTTCTGCTGAATCCAAAGGAGGCTGGGCCTGAGGGACATGGGGATCGGGGTACCGGTTCCACACTGCCTACCTTGACAGTCCGTCGGTGCCCAGAGCCATCCCAGTAACTGAAGGTAATTTCAATCTCCTCGCCTACAAAGCAGAATTGCCTCTTGGCCTCCAGACCTGTGTGTCCCTGCCCCGCGACAGCTCCCTGGGGCTCAGGGCACCGCCCAGAGAACTGTCGGCAAGGGAACCAAGAAAGCCAGCTGGGCCGCAGCCCTCGCTGCTTGCCGCCCCCGGTGCCCCAAGGCCGGGCCAGGTGCATCCCCTTTGGCAACCACTCACTCTTTTTTTTTAAAATGAATTAATTTATTTTTCTTTTATGTTTTTGGTGAGGAAGAGTGGCCCTGAGCTAACACCTGTTGCCAGTCTTCCTCTTTTTGCTTGAGGAAGAGTGGCCCTGAGCTAACATCTGTGCCAGTATTCCTCCATTTTGTATGTGGGATGCTGCTACAGCGTGGCTTGATGAGCAGTGTTAGGTCCGTGCCTGGGATCTGAACCCATGAACCCCAGGCTGCCAAAGCGGAGAGCACAAACTTAACCACTATGCCACCAGGCTGGCCCCGCAACCACTCACTCTTGATCTTCTCCTGCTTGGCTTCCCACTCCTGCCGCAGCTCTTCCCGGAGCCGATTCTCCTCCTCCTGAGAGGAAATGGGTAAAGGAGGGAGGCCCAGGGCTGCTCAGGGGGCACATAGGGCCCCATTCCCTAAGTAAAAGCCTCTGCCAGAGCCGGGGCTGGGGCCGGGGTCAGGTGCCTTTACCTCCCGGTCTCGGTCAGGCAAGAAGCTTGTGTCCACATCTGGGTTCTTCCCCAATTTCCTCTTCTTTGTGGTGATCTCTAGAGCAAAGGGACACATAGGAGTCAGCTCCATGATGGGCCCCACTGCCGGGGCACCCTGGACCTTCACTGCTTGGGCCTCAGCTCAAACACCACCTCCTCAGAGGCTTCCTGGACCATCCCGGCGGGATGCACCACCCTCTGCTCCCAGCCACAGTGGCGTGCGCCACCCTCTTCACAGCACCTACAGAGACCTAAAAGGTGCTCTTGCCAAGAAGCCTTCACCTTGGTCTCCACTGCCAGCAGCTGGACAGGAGAGTGGGGACCATGTTCTTGTCCCATCAGCTGTGACCTGGAGTACCTTGGGGGACTTAAGGCATCAGCGCCAGTGTCAGAGAGAAGAGGGGCCCCTTGTGCACTGGAGGGGCAGGGCATCCACAGAAGGGCGGATGCTTGGCGAGGGCCCCCTGAGGGCCAAGAGCTGTGCTCATCACAGTCACCTTTCTGGTGTCTCCTCTAATCCTCACAATAGCCCCAAAGGGGTATGACATTCCTTTTTCCCAGGTGAGGAAACCGAAGCTCAAAGTCCCATGGCTACTACACTGCAGCCAGCAGGGAGAAGGAAGGGAAAGGCGCCACTTGGGCTGAGGCCATCTTGGACTCTGGGACTTGGTTTCCCCAATGAGAACACAGATGAACTAGAACAGTGGTTCTTCAACTTGCTGGTCTTGGCACACCTGAACACTCTTACAAGTTACTGAGGACCCCAGAGAGCTCTTGTCTATGGGCACTGTAGCCATCAATATTCACCAAATTAGAGATTAAGCCTGAGAAACCCTGAAGACTCAAGAACAAGAAAGCACGCACTCTGTTAGCTGTCGAAGCAATGACATCATCACGTCACGTGGCCTTGGGAAAACACCATCACACACTCATGAGAACAAGAGTGCAAAAGGCCAAGAAATAGTTTTGACCTGGAGACCTCCTGAAAGGATCTTGGAGACCCCGAGGCGTCCCTGGAGCACTCTTTGAGAACTGCGGGCCTAGGAGACAAGCCTACACCCCAGTCTGCTGCTCCAGGGCAGTGGTTCCAGAGCCTGGTTACACATTAGAATCACCCAGAGTGGGCCAGCCCGGTGACGCAGCAGTTTAGTTCGCACCTTCCGCTTAGATGGCTCGGGGTTCGCTGGTTCAGATCCTGGGCACGGACCTACACACTGCTTATCAAGCCATGCTGTGGCAGGCGTCCCACATATAAAGCAGAGGAAGATGGGCACAGATGTTAGCTCAGGGCCAGTCTTCCTCAGCAAAAAGAGGAGGATTGGTGGCAGATGTTAGCTCAGGGCTAATCTTCCTCAAAAAACAAATGAAAACAAACAAACAAGCAAACAAAAACAACCAAAAAAAGAATCACCCAGGGGCCGGCCCTGTGGCTGAGTGGTTAAGTTTGCGTGCTCCGCTTCGGTGGCCTAGGGTTTCTCTGGTTCGGATCCTGGGCGCAGACATGGCACCCCTTGTCAGGCCATGCTGAGGTGGCGTCCCACATAGCACAGCCAAAAGGACCCACAACTGAAATATACAACTACGTACTGGGGAGATTTGGGGAGAAAAAAGCGAAAAAAAAGAATCACCCAGAAAGCTTAAAAAAATCTCACACCACTCCCCCATCACTGAGTTCCCAAAACAAAACCTCCGAGGGTATGGAAGTGCCCAGAAAGCCCCAGTGACACACAGCAAGGCTGACAGCCTTCCCCGAGACTTGCACTGTCTACAACAGTGGCCCCTGCCACCTAGATGCGTAGCTCATGTGACAACGTGCTGATGGTAACATTCTGCATATCGAGTATTACTAACTAGTACTGAAATTAACTTTGCCCATTTCTTTTCAAGTCTTTTACTGTGGCTCCTGGAACACGCAAAACCCCGGGAAGCTCACAGGCTCTTCCTCCTCACCACAGTGGCCGCTCCTCTCAAAGCCATCACACCCGGCCTGTCATCACACTGTGCAGTGCCATGTCCTGCACTGTTCCCTGGCCATCACGCTTTCTAAACCAGCCCAGGCCTACCACTGCACCCTCCCAAGTCCTCAGATGTGTCCACTCCTGCCTGCTCCGCTTCTGGGCACACTCATCTCTAGACTCCACACACTTCCCCACCCCCTATCTCTCTGGCTGCTAATGAGATTCTCCTCATCCTGAAGGCCTCGCTCAACTGTGCCCCAATGGGAGACTTTCCCTGAGCCCTGGGCTGGCCTCAGGCCCTGGCAGGGCACATGTCCACTCGTGTGACTCCCACAAGGAGGGGCAGCACCTTGCTTCTGTCCATCTGCCTCAGCCCTGGCCTGGCCCGGAACAGGTGCATGCACCTAGGAGCCCCATGCCAGCTTCCTCCTTGCTCATCAGCCTTCTCAAGTTGCCCCTGTTGTCCCTTGTTCCCTCGGCTGAGACCTGTACTGTCCAATTAATAGCCACCGAATTTCTGTGGCTGTGTCGATTTACCTTGGAAATAATCAAACAGAATTAACAATTTGGTGTCCCAGTCAAAAGAGCCACATGCTCAGGTGACACCTGGTAGCGCAGATGCAAACACTTCCATTATCACAGAAAGCTCTACTGGCCAAACTGGTCTACACCATCTTCTCCCCTCCTCAGTCCATCCTCCACCACGGGACCTACAAAGGGCAGCTACTGGAGCCTCCTTTTTTTTTCTCTTTTTTTGGGGAGCCTTCTTGCTTGGGCACCAGCCTCGCTCTGGCAGCCTCTCACACTGAAGCCCCACACCCCTGACCAGCGGTTGCACACCTGGCTCGGACTCACTCTGCCACTGAGGTGAGCCCCTCACTCAGCTTTGCACACGGAGCACACCTGGCAATCGAGGTGGTGTGGCGGATGTGCTTCTTCACTCTAGAGCCAGAAAGCCGGGACAGAGCACTGCTGGCAGCGCCCCTTCCTGGGCCCCCAGCCTGCCCTCACCTTCCCTTTCCAGCTCTTCCTCATAAATGACCACCTCCTCCTCCTCCTCCCCTGCCTCCTCTTCCTCCTCTAGAGTGAAGGACAGGCTGGAGATCTTCCGCTTGGCCTCCTTCTTGCGCTCCTTCTCTCGCAGCTTCTCCAGCTTCCTGCCAAGGCACGGGTGGCTGTCATGCACCATGTCCTGGGCCCCGAGGCCTCTTCCCTGACCCAGAGCCACCTGTGTGCTCAGTGTGGGGCCCCTGTGGTGTGGGCCCAGAGGAATCCTACTGCCTTGGGTGACTCCAAGCTCATGGGCAGGGCTCTGATGACAACACAGGGGTCCCCCCTTCAAGGTGCAGGAACCACCTGCCCAATCCCCAAGCACTAGCTGCATCTCAGGGGAGGGCTCCTGGCAGGGAGGGGAGGACCCACAGCTGCAGCTCCTTCGACTGCTCCTTCTTGGCCAGCTGCTTCTCCCGCTCCTTCACCAGTGCCTCCTGCTTGGCCTTCATGTCATTCAGGGTCACAAGACCTGTGAGGAGACACAAGGGTAAGGGTCAGTCACCTGGAGCCAGGGCGGCTCTGAGTCTGGGAGAAGATGGCACGCACGCCTCGCTCACCCACGGTGCTGGACTTGAGCTCCGCCTCCACTGCGTCGTAGTGTGCAGAGAACTTCTTGTCAATGTTGGATTTCATTATGTTCTCCTGTTGGGGAGGGAGAGAAGCAGTGAGGGCCACCCACCACCCCACCGTGCAAGAGAGGACCGGAGTTCCAGTCTCAAATCTGCCCCCGGACTCACTATGATGTGACCTTGGGAAAGACACATTCTCTTTCCCTAGTTGATGGAAGGTCCCACAGGGCTGCGAGGGGCTCTTCCAGTGCTGAGGGAGCCAAATGGGCTCATTTCCCTGCGACCTCTGCACTTCTCTGGCCCCTCCACATCTCCAGCTGGGGACCAGAGCTCCCTCAGTGGCCTGAAGCCACAGCCCTAGCTGCCTTTGGCATTTTTCATGAAGTTCTGGAGACCCAAGCCAAGGGGTGACAGAAGAGAGTGAAGAGTGGCCAACAGGCCTAGTCCCCTACTGAGCAATGTTATGTTACTCCCTCTTGGCCTCAGATGTTGCCAGTGGCTTCCCATCAGGCTGCCCCGCTCCAGCCCACTTGGTACTATGTAGGTCCCTCTCTGGCCAGTGGCCTCCAAAGGAGGTGACCAGCAGAGAAATGTACCTCCAGCTGGCTGGAGAGTCTGCACTGAGACAGGAGGGGCAAGGCAGGAGCGTGAACCAAGGCTGAGCCAGGCCTCAGTGTGCGGCTGCTTCCTTGGGCCTGGCTGTCACAGTCCCTAAGGTAGAAGTCTGCTCTCTTCTCACGCCCTGAGTCCCTGCTCTTTGGATGAGTCTTTCCCAAAGGTCCAAGCAGAGGGCTCTTCCTTCCTGACCGCCCACTGCCACTGGCCACTCACTGAAGCCCTTAGTGAACTGCTAACCCTCCAAATGCTCAGCGCCTGCCTTTGTCGCGGGGCTCCGGAATGAGCCTCAGCGGCCGCTGGATTGCCAGGGGCCTGGGGAGCCTGCCCTTCCTGGTAACCATTGGGTCAGAACAGAGGCCTCGCTCTTAGGGCTGAGGGGCCAGAGCCAGGATGCTCTGTGCCCGCAAGGGGCGCCCCAATGCCACCAAGGGAACCATTGGTGGCTCCCTCCTGTTGGAGGCTTGTCAAAAGCTAGCTCGTCTCAGCCTTCTGAGCCCATTCTACAGATAAGCAGACTGTCGCCGGCTCGCTTCTGCCTCTTGCGGGAGGTCAGCGAGCAAGGGTCCCGCCCCGGCTCGCCGCCCGCGCTCTGCGCCCGCCGCCGGGACTCGCGGCGGGCGGCGCGCATGCTCCGAAGCGCCCAACCCCGCCCGCACCTCGGCGATTCGCTGCTTCATCTGCTCCATCTGTTCGCGCTGCTTCTCCCGCTTCTTCATCAGGTGCATGGCGCGGCCCGCCTCGCTCGCGGCGCCCTTGTACTGAGCCATAGCGGTGGCGGCGACAGCGACAGCGGCCTCACCGAGTCTCAGCGGTTGCGGCGGTAGACGTGCAGTCAGCTGACGCTCGCGCCGTGACGTCGGTCACCAGGGGACGCGCGGGCGCCCCGCCCCGCCCTAGCACGTGACCGCCCGCCGCCCCGCCCCGCCCCTTCGGCCGCACGAGACTGGCCTCGGGTCCTTTGCGCTTCCCGTGCCCCCGCCCGAGTCTGGTTCCCGGTCCCTCGCTTCCCCAATTCCTCGACGTGAACCCTTGGCCTGAGACTGGTCCCCCAGCCCTACTTCCTCGGGTTGACCCCAATGCTGGGCTCCCGCGTCCTCCCATTTCCTTGATTGACGCGGGCCCAGGGCTAGCCCCCCCCCCCCCCGCCCCAGTTCCCTTGCTGCCTCCCTGCAGGTCATCCCGGTTTCCCGTGCTTCCTCAACTTTGACCCCCACGCAAGACTGGGCCCTAGGCCCTAATTTCCCCAGGCCATGAGGCTGGGGTTCTGCTCCCTCTGCTTCCTTCTCCTTGAATTGGAAGCAGGGACTCCGCCCCCTCTGCTTCTTCCACTTTGACCCCCACCCCAGGCCAAACCTCTCAACCCCACTTTCCCCCACAGTGACCCCCAAGGGCTGCAGTCCTGGTGCAGGGTGGCCTTAGACAGGTCGATGTGACTTCTTTCCTCTGTACAGCCTCTTTCTGTTCAGAAGCTCTGTAATTTCCTGATGAAGAAGGTCACCTTTTACCGCCGTCAGGAGCTCTAAGACTTCCAAACTCAGCCAGCCAGCGTTAACAGTCTAAGCCCCACCCAGTGTCCAGCTTTTAGGAAATAAAGCTAAAGATCTGGGCTCAGGTTTCAACAGTTTTATTGGGAGGTTTTGTTTTCTGTGAAATACACTAGAGGCTGGGGAAGGGGACACATTCACTTTGCAAGATAAGGGTTTCCCACCACTAAGGGAAGGCGTGGAGCAGGGCGGGGCACACTGGGGTTTGGATCCATTTTCCCACCTCCTTCTGCTTTGCTCACATTTCTTTTCTCTCTCAGCAAGTACCAGAGGACACAAACACAAAGACAAGAAATAAAAACAACAAAATCAACCTCCAATGGGGCCAGACCCAAGCCCTCTCCCCTCTCAGGCTGTGACAGGGCTGGGCGGGCCAGGGTAGCTGCTCCACAGCCCCAGGCCGCACCAGAGGGCTGCCGTGAGGGGCACAGCACTCCCTTCTCAGATGGGGTGGGCCGAAGTTAATAAATTAGAATAAATTATGGGCTGGGGGAGGGGAGGAATGCAACTTTGTGCTAGGAGGGCCCCTTCTCTCCAACACACAAGAAGGTTGGTGGGGGAGGCAGGGGGCATCTCCAAAGGCCACTACAGTGGGGCGTAAGAGCAGTGGGGGCAGAAATCAGCTTTTCCTCCACGTTCTTCCCAAACAGCAGAAGAATTAGGAGTGGGAGGAAGAGACACACACAAGGAAAGGAACCTCTTTTCCCAGGATAAGGAAGGGCCAAGAAAGAGGATGCTATCCAACCCCCCGTCTCCCAAACCATCGCTAAGGTTAAGGATTTGGTCAGTGAATCAATGAGGTGGGTGACAGGAATGTGGTGGGGGAAGCAGAGATGCTGGGAACAGGGGTGCCCAGCCAGACCGGTCTCCCCAGCCCTCGAGGAGAACAGACTCGGGTCGGGGGAGAGGGTACCAGGGGCTGGGGGAGGGGGGTCTGGCAATCACTGGTCAGCTTCTCCAAAGACGTCATTCTGTTTGCGCTTCATGTTCTCAAAGTCAAAGGCGGACCCTGCCATGCGCTTGTAGATGTCTTTGATGTCGTTGCAGGTTGTCTCAAAGTGTGTGGTGGCATCATAGGAGCGGGAACAGAACACCTGCAAACAGCCAGAGTACCGGCCCTGGGTGAGTTGAGCAGGGGCCCTGGGCAGGCAGCCAGAAGCTGGGGCTGGGACAGGCTGCTTACCTGGCTCTCAGAACCATCGTCAATGGGCTCATACAAGTCACTGATGGCCACAAACCTGAGGAGCAGATGGAGAGGAGGAGACAGGCCTCACAACCAGTCTTGCCCTCCCTGGTCCCTGCTCCCCTAGCTCCCCAGCTCCCTTCCTCCCCCCAGCCTCGGTCCTGGTTCCCAGCCCCTCACTTCTGATCAATGGGCTCCAGCAGCTCCAGGGCTGGCTCAACCTCCTTTTCAGGCTCGGAGGTCTCCACCGTGGTGCTGGCGATAGCGATGTACTTGCCCTGCGCAGCGACGTTGTGTGCATAGGAGATCATGCACACATAGATGTCTGCCCACAGGAAGAGCTCCATTAACGCAGGCACAGAGGGCTCCTGGAGACTGCCCATCCCTCCCCAGCCCTACACAGTGGGCAGCGTCCAAGCTGCCACCCTCCCGGAGGGGAAGAGTCCAAGTCATTCAATCCCTAGAGCCCCAAGTCATGGGGCCTGTGGTGCAGGTCCCCATTCTTCCATGGAGGGATCAGGTAAAGAGCCCCAAGGCTGATGGGGAGAGGAAGAGCCACCCCAAAGAGAACACACTGGAGGAAGTCATGTGGGGCTCGGCTTACCTGACTTCCTGTTGACCTGGTTCTGGGGGATGATGATTTGGCAGGAGTTGGCATCGTTGGTGTTCTTGATGGGATGGCTGAGGATACAGATGATGCGGATAACCTGGCCAGCCTTCCGCACACGGTCCGGAATGTAGCTGGGGTCACAGATGAGCTGCTTGCAACGGGCCACCTGTGAGAGCAACGAAGGCCTTGTCCCTATCCAATCACTCCCCTAGACAGTCATGGGGCTGGACCCACAGCAAGCGCTGGCAGCTCCAGCAGGCAGGGCGCTCCTCTGAGCTGTCACCACTGCCCCTCCTGTAGCGTACAGCTTCGTCCTGCACCTCAGGGAGGTGGGCACTAACTCGCAGGGCTGAGCAACCCCCTTTGCTGAGACACTCTGATCAGGAACACTCCCTGGACCCGAGACAGCATGTAGGCTTGGAGAGTTACCTCTAGCCAACAGGAATGGCCATGTAGACTTTTTCTGGAGCCCCAGTCCCCAGCCTTCAGAGGCCCTCAGAGCTGAGTAGCAGTAGACCCAGCAGAGCCAGGGTTACTGGGAAGAGAGCCTCTAAGGAGGGAACCAAGCCCTGCCCAGACCATCATGACTGCATTGTGGGGAATGCTTACCTCCCCTTCAGACTTCACGCCCACCACCTTGCCATTCTCCATAATGATGTCATCCACAGGTTTGTTCAGCATATACGTCCCCCCATAGATGGCACTCAATCTGTAGTGGGAGAAAGGACGATGAAGTCCTTCTCCCAGGAGAATGAGGGACTAGTGCCACTGCACCCTCCCCCCACCACCACTGGGGTGCAGAGGCCACCCCAGGCAGCCAGAGCTCAGGAGACCCAGTGGTTCTTCCCAGCTTTGTCACTGCCACAAACTCAGGACTGAATTCAGAGCACTCCTTCCTCTCTGGAGCTTCAACCCAGAATGTTCTCCAAGGGGCTAGTATGAGGGTGGCACGAGGGCATGACCCCTCACGAAAATGGTCTGGGGAAGAGAAGGAAGAGCTCTGGAGAAGCCCTCACTCAAGGTTTCAAGGCCCCGGGCCCAGTCCTAGCACTGCCTGACTCCGGCTGGGAGCTGAGCAGTCCCATGTGTGGAGGCCTGGTTCTTCAACTCTGCACTTCAACACACTGCTGTGGCGCCCCATTGCCAAAAGGTGGCACGAAGTAAATTAAGACCACACGGGAAAGTACAAAATACTACGGAAATGCTCAAGGAGACCGTTTCCATTCTTGGCCTTAGTGCTACTCAGTACTGCCAACTGAAAGGAGCCATGCCCTCACCTTGCAAAGCCCTGGGGCAGCTCGCCAAGGCCATAGAGTGGGTATAAATATGGGCTCTTGCCATACCGGGCCAGGGACTCGCTGTACAACTTGATGCGGTTGATGGTCTCAAGACAGGGCTGGTCCAGGTAGCTGGGGGCACAGAGTCAGGAAAAAAGGTTCCAACAGGAGCACTCCCAGCTTACCCTCAGCCAGGCACCAAGCCAGCCTTCCCACCACCCCCAATGGCCTGGGGAAGACTATGGGTGAAATGCTGGGAAGGGACAGGAAAGGCAACAGGTGACTGTGTGGCTGAGTACAAGAGATGCGCAGGGTGGGCCGAGAGAGCAGCAAGCAGGAGTAGGGAGGGCAGGGTGCAGGCCGGGCAAAGGGTGGTCCACCATGCCAGCTTCCCCTCACTCATCAGTGCGGTAGAGCGCCAGGGCGTGGCCAGTGAAGTCGATGACATCCTGGCCCAGGTCAAACTTCCGGTAGACTTCACGCATGCTGGTGCTCTGGGGGTCGACACCCTCAAAGGTCTTGGGGTCATTCTCATCAAAGTTTGCCACAAACACCAGGAACTTGCGGAAGCGCCGTTTCTCGAACATGCCCATCAGATCTGTGGAGGCAATGTGAGCCTTCGCACCACAGAATGTGACCCTCTCCTTCCCACCAGGCAGGTTGAGAAAGCAGATGCCCTAGCTCCCAGCAGAGTTCTGCTGCTGACCACTGTGTGACCTTAGATTAACTCCTCTGCCCTTCTTGGCCTCAGTTTCCCCATCTGTATGAAGAGGCAGCTAGGCTACGCAGGCTCTGAGGGCCCTCCCTGTTCCGACACTTGGGGATATTTCACTAGTCAGGTGGAGCCCCTGTCAAAGGCTGAAGTCTTTCAAGAAAGAGTCCCCCCTTGCACATCCCCTGTGTGTGTGGACTCCCCTCCTCGCAACCAGTGTGAGGCCTGGCCTGGGGCGGTGCAGGGAAGACAGAGCAAGGAACTTCTGGTACTGCATGGGGAATGCGACCTGGGGCAAGGGGCACCCTGCTCTGGACAGCTGCCCCCCATGATTCTCTGGCTCAGGGGACCTGCACTCACTGGAAGCCAAGGCTTCGGTCTCAGTGGACGGCACTTTGTAGATCTTGCCCCCCTTGTAGACAAAGCTGCCCTCCACCACCTTGAAGTCCAGGTAGCGTGTCACCTCTGTATACAGTAGCATCTTTACCAGCTGCCCTGCGGGGTGGTTGGGGGAAGGCAACATCA